ATAAAAATTTTTGAAATTAACAAAAATGTTCCCGCTTGCTACACAGATAATTAAAAGTTAAATCCTAATTTAAAAAACTTTTAAAATTATATATTTCTGTCGATTGTAATATAATTTTAATTCCACAAATTTAAAGCAAGCGCCATCTATATTTAATTTTAATCTAAAACTTGGTCATAAATCGGGCGTTTTTTTTTTTTTTTTTTTTTCGCGCAATATTTCAGCTTTCAGCTAACGGACTTATCTAAAGCCGTACTAATTGGTTGCATGAATTGATGGGATTCCGATTTCGGCGACAATGGCTCTATCGCCGCTCCCAGCCCAACGTGGCGCGGTAATAAAGGCAGATTTGCGGTTTTTTCGATTTGCGATAAAAATCGAGTCATCGGCTTATGCGGTTTCGCGTAAATGTTGCGGTTTAAAACATTTTCATTTCGACGGAGAAATATAATCGCAAACGCGCCGTTGTATTTTTAAAACCTATGTATTTGATTTTCTGAAAATTGTTCACCTATAAATAATCTTTTGATACTAAAGTAGATTTTTGCAATTCTTTTGAGTGTAAATGGCGCTACTTACACCTTATTTGAGGTAATTTACAAAGGTTTATAACCTACTATAAGCGTGATTTTATTGTAAAGTGATTTTCCTTTATAATCCACCTAGTAATCACGTGGAGATCACCATCTAAAAACAGGAAATTTTACAAACCGCCTTTAGAGCAGCAGGTTAGAAGATAAATAAATAGAAAGAATAATAAATCCAAGGAAATTCTTTTTGCACATACGAAGGCTGTGAATTGAAGGTCACGCGCTCTAATAAAGCTTCATCTGGTCGAAGTTAAAAATAATTAAGTTGTGGAATTCTCGTGAATGAACAGGCCTTCGAGGCTTTGAGCTGGTCCTGAATCGTAATAGAATCTTCACAAGGACATACGAATCTTGCATTTGGATGGAAAACAATAATGGTGCAAGATTAAACTCCGAATTAATCATATCTATTTGTAATTCCGCCATTTTTGTTTTACCTTGTTTTATATATTCCAAAATGGGGGTTGGATGGTCATTCATTTTTATTTGCCTTTATTTAAGGTCGAAAACATTGGATTGTCAACTTGTAGAAAGCTATTTATCCCGAGAAAAAGATACAATATGAGTATAATGAACAATATCAGATGACCCTTTTTACAAAACTTCTGGATTTCTCCTGCGTCGGTTCTTGCTGAGTCGAACTTGGCTTGTTCAGAGCTTGACTGAAATTGGCTCGCATTTTACTCTGTATCTGCTTATATTTTGTTGGAGGGGGGCGGAACTTAATGAGGGGCATAAACACCATCTCGGATGACTGATTCCCATATTGGTATAAGATTCTTAAGTTCGTAGATTTCGATAGACTCTCGGATTTTTCGTTGGTAGAAGAATTGATTACATGCAAGAATTTTCAAATGGAATTTTATCTTTGACGGGCTTTTGATGTGGTCAGTGATGTTTTGAATGTAAGGAAGGGAAGGGCCACAGTGGCATGTGTAGGATCGCTTTCGGCCTCATTGCTATTGGAAGGTTGTGGTAAAGTGAATTTTTTGATGGAACGCTTAATATCTTTAATGTAGAAATTATTAGAGAGGTAAGGTATAGGTAAGGTGTTTTAATTCTGGGTTTAGTGGACTCGGGCTGAGATGTGCATGGTCACAGATTTACCACTTGTCCAAAAATCTCTCAACATCTTCGGTCCGTCAAAGACAAAATTTAATTTGAGATGGCCAGAAGTTTACAGCATTCGATGCATATGCGGCAAATAATTCATTGGAGAGACCGGACGAAACATATCAACTAGGCTCAAGGAACACGAAAGAGCCTTTCGACTAAGACAAATCAACTCATCAACTGTTGTAGAACACAATCACGAAACTGGACATAAAATTTTATTCGATAAAACTAGAATTCTTGCATGTAATTAATTCTTCTACCAACGAAAAATCCGAGAGTCTATAGAAATCATGGGAATCAGTCATCCGAGACGGTGTTTATGCCCCTTACTCAGCTCCCTCAAACAATATGTAAGCCGGTACAAAGTAAAATGCGAGCCAGTTTCAGTCAAGCTCTGAAGAAGCCAAGAGGATGATTGATGAAACGTCAGCAAGTTCGACTCAGGAAAAACCGACGCAGGAGGAATCCACAAATTTTGTTTGTAAAAAGTGTTACAGTAGTCTGTGGAAGTTTCTTTGAAAAATGAAAATGAAAAATGAAATTAAAACACCATATAGTGAAAATGTGTAATAATCAGTCAACCAGAATGACGTCATTATGAAGGGTATAATTCCGGCTATAGAACCAAGAGGTACCCCGGATCTTGGGACAAACTGCGCTGACTGGAATTCCTTGCTCACTGAGAGTAATCTTTTGTGGAGATAAGACTTCAAGGGATTCAAGAGTCTTGGCAAAATCCTAATTCATTACATTTACTTGAATCATTTTGTCAAGAGACTCGGCAATATACTGCACGAGTTCCGCTAGGATGGAAGTAATAGACAATCTTGCCAATAAATGGATTAAATAAGGAATTTGATATTACAAACCAGACAAGCCTAAATTAGCTTTTCAAAAGCTTATTAATAGTCAATAATATCGTAATAGTAAAATCAGAATAAACCACATATAGGAAAGTCTTACGGAATAGCATGACATTTTAGTCAAGAATGCTAAACAAACGAGTGGTTGGAAGACATTTTGGCATATCATTCGACTTTTTCTATTATAAGTCTTTATTGAAAAACAGTACGAATGCTGACTGGCGTGTGAGGTGACCGTCAGAATAGATAAATGTCAAAATATTTTCCAGTCAACAACGCATTTGGTTTCTTCAAATTATACGGCTTTGTCGGGTAAGCAAACTTATAGAAAAATTGGAGAGCAAGTAACGAAATTCAGTGGTTCAGTGGCTCGTTTTAACCCTTCGGACACATATCGCACCTGCTCTAAGCAATGATCGATAAAACCTCAATATACGACAAACCCGGACCAAATTAGACGATAAAATAAGCGCTCCGACCATATAGAGAAAAATAAACGGAAGCTGCAAGATTTTATGCGCCTCGGAGCAGTCTTTACTGCACTATAAACGCGGAACTCCGCCTCATAAATAAAAACAAATGGCTGGGGACGACGCGTCTTCAGAACTGCGTATTTATGAGTTTCCCCGTATACGTTTCCCCGTACCGATCGGACCGCGACAAATACTCGACGCCGATTAATTAAAGCGATTCGGCAACATCGCCGGATTCGGATTAAATATCTATATAGATATGGCGGGGCGGCGAGAAAAACGCGTTCCTTTTAAGGCACCCGAGACGGTCGAAAATAAAAAAAAGGACTGGAGATTATTTCGCAATTAAACCTCTGATTAAACTGTTGCCGTGCCATATATGGCCAGATTGTAATTGGGTTTCTTCTTCTCTCTTTTTTTTTTCGCTACTCTAACGAAGTGATCGGATCGTGTTAACCGTGGCGTCAATCATCAAAAATATTTGAACGGTGATCGTTGTATCGGGGATCATCGCGCGCTCAGTTGATCCCTTAAATCCAAGACGTTGACATTGACCCACTAAGTTTCTTAATTCCCGAAACCCGGATCTCGGTTCGCTTCGTTCTTGCGCTTCGCTCCCTTAGTTTTACTTGCGCTTCACTACCACTTTTCTAACGTCGTCTCCTCGAGTTTTTAGTTTCCGTTTCCTCACTTTTCTTCTTGGCTTGTTGCTTGCTTGGTTAACGCTTTTAGCGTTATGATTTCGTTGCTAGTTTATCATGTATTCCTACTCATAGTTTTCGCTGCATATTTTCGTCGCTGCACTCTTTTAGTTTCGTTCTGCTTTTTAGTATTCCCAATAAAAAAACAGAACCTTAAGCTGAATTCTAAAAAACACAAATCATTCTTATACCTGTTTAAATTTGAAGGATGGTTAAGTGTTTCGATATGAAATTGATAGTCTGTCTCTAAGGACGAAAAAAGCCTCTTAGATATGCCCCAGCATAATTTCAAAAATAATAATGCTATTAAAAATATTTTTCTACTCCCGTTTGTAAAATACCTAATTACACACCGATCTAGCGTGCGGGAAGCGTCACTTTACCACGTAGACGTAGACGTAGAAAAAGTATAGTATGCAACACGTTCGGTAAACTTTTTAACTCACTCGTTTATTAAAAACTCGCTCCGCTGCACTCCGCTTGTGTCAAATAAACCCTTAAGTCAAATGCCGTTTACCGAACTTGTTGCACAATATACTATTTCAATCCAGGGTAGTCCTAGTATGTAGGAAAAAAAAAGTCTGTGGTGCTCCTTGGCTTCGCTTTTTAAGTGTGCGTTCGGTAGCTTCACCGCCTGAATAATAAGCGAATTCGTTATCAACTGTGTCGCTTCTCTTCTTTAATTACGGTTTGCTCGCTCTGTTCCTTAAGATCTTGGTGTCGTTGATCTTCTTAGCGCTCGTCCCTTAGTTTTGCGATTTGCGATTTATTTTCTTTGATACTTACCGCGATAAAAGTTATGACTTCGTCACTTTACTAGTATTCCCGTAGTTGACGCTTCACTTCTTTGGTGATGTTTTCGTTATTCGTGGATTCTTTAAATATGGTTCCGTAGGCTTTGTTTTGTAAAACCGCTTCGCTTCTGATAAATTTTTAAAATGTTTTAAATTTTCTTCCATAATTCCCGTCCTTTCGCTTTGCTTCTTCGCTTTTTTTTGTTATTTCATCATTCCATCCTTACGATTATAATTTTGTCACTTTACTTGTTGTTCCGCTTCATTAATTTTTGCCCTGTCGGTCGGCTTCATAATTTAGCGGTTGCCGCTTCGTGTTATAATTTCGCCGCTTAATTTTTACCCGTTCGTTCGCGTTACGTTTTGCCATGTTATCACGCCGCTTTAAACTGCGCCTGCATTTTGTAAATTTGCACGTTTAAGTTGAATTATTTAGCTCTAACGTTGATTCTTTTTGTTTCAGATTTGATGCTTGTCCACGGTAAGTCGGATTGCTCGCAACCGCGGACCAGAAATAAAATTATCGCTCGATATTCGAAACGGTTAATTTTGCATTCGCGCCCAGCGTACGAACACCGCCGGCTACGGGTCCCGACAAAATTGCTGCCCAAGCTAAACGGCATACAATTTCGCAACCTGTAATTGATCAATCAATCTCGCGTTTCGATTCGCAAACGCATTCGCCCGGATTGATCCGTCCATTAAGGAGAATGAATATTTCGGTCGAACGGAAAGTTTAGTAGAGTGCAAACTAGCTAACAAGATGCCACAGGCGTCATACCTAGAGTATACTATAGTATTTTTCGCTTTTAAATCGCTTCTATTTATCCATCAGTGATGATGATATTCAATATTCCTTCTACCAGCAAGGTGGCATAAAGGCATCGACTTTTAAGAAACTGCCTATGGATTCGACCTCTAGTGTCATTCTTAAAAGCCATCGACTGGCTCGACGTTAGGATTTCGCCAAATTTATTTCGACAAATCGTTCGGGTCGTATACTCTTTCCGTTCCACTTAAAAGCAATCGCCAGATTTATCTGCGAGGCACAATCGTTAAATTGAACTTTAGCAATGCCTCGCAGGATTCGAGCGTCTCAATCTGCAGCAGCAGGATCGTTACATATTGTTATTATAGTGGCTGTAGTCTGTTTCCCTCGAATGTCGTAGAGTTTCTTTTCAGTTCAAGGTCTATCTAATCACCGATGACTTAGCCGATCATTTTTTACTTCATTACGATGAGCTCCAGTCTTTCTCAGACATTTATTGAGTACTCGCTCCGCTCGTGCCAAATCAAACTCATGGCTAAAATGTCGTTTACGTAACTTATTACATAATATATTTTCGCAAAAGGGGAAAATAAATTTATTAACAGTGACTTAAAAAACGGTGTCTTCTGTACTATAAACGTGGGTTTGCCAGGCAACAAGAATACTATCGGTTTAATTTTAAAACTAATTCTAATTTAAATATTGCTGGGATTATCAAACTACTACTTACTAAATATTCATATTTCACTGTGGCGAGAGAGATTCAATAGCTTCAATAGCGTCTCAGTTGTGCAAAGGCTTACCTCATCCAATCCAATTCCATTCCAATCTTAACGACGCCTTTGAAATTTTTTTCCCTAAAAAAATTCAAAAACTCTACCCACCAATTCAAAACTACCAGCCAGTTAATTAATCGGTTGTTACAAATAACTTCATTTTGAAACTGCATATATAAGTAACTTCTACCATTAGCACTGTTATGACAAAGTGCTTTATTTTGTTGGAAATACATATTTCTTAACTGTACAAGAAGTGTATTGTAAATAAATTCTGAAAGACATTTATATGTGTCTCACAATGCTTATGGGGCTTTCGTCAGACCAAATGGTTTTACATCCAAAATCCCATTGTACCCTACACTGTTGTAGCTATCATCAGCAAAAAGTAATACGCGAATCATCCTGTTGACTTCTCAAAGCTCTGAAGTCTCCAATTCAGCTCCGGAGAATCCAACAGGATGACGCAGTACGAATCTAGAAGATTTGTAAATGGTACTGGCATTTTTATTTCGAAAACATCTGCATTCTCCTCAATTCTGGTGCCACATGGACCACAACATTTATTTCGTTTTCTTCGCGAGTCGGTTTACTATACTTATTTGGCTTTATTAATAAGGGAGGAGATACGCTTCAAAAACCATAAAAAATGGGACACACTGTACATACAGTACAGTATGTACAGTAAATGCATGTGTATTGATTTAAGTGTTTTTTCGACTAATATTCATTTTCTGACCAATAAATTTTAAATTTATAGTGGTATATCAAATCAATTTGTATACGGGTTTTTCGACGTTTTTTTGTAAGTTTGATTATTATACATTTTATATTATACAAATATTTAAGGTAAATATTTGCATATATTTATTTATATTATTTTATTATATTTATATTTTTGTTGAGTGAATATTTGTATAAAAGAATTACTATCCGTCTTTCTCTACTGTGGAGTTTGCTTTCATATGTTGCCATGCCATTTCAGTCGAATTGGCAGCTCTGACGAATTTACAACCCAGCCTTTCGCGGTGAAGTATTTTACACGTCAATATTTAAATAAATGAAAATAAACAAAATTTAAATAGACCACAAAAAAAGAGTACTACGTGCACTGACTTCCAGGAAGACTATTTGTAATATTATTCGGTTGTTGTTTATGTTGTGTATACGTATGTAGTGTACAACCGAGATACTAGCAGTTATAAAATAGTGCATTTTTCGGAAATAAACTAGTCCTGACAGTTTCGTGATTTTATTTATCTATTTTTTTTTTGTGAAAAAAAATGTATAAATATAAAAACTAAAAAAATCTAAAATAAGTCGGCGTATTTAGAGAGGGTAGAGAAAAATTTTCAGTGACAATAACGTTTAATTGTGAGGTGTAGATGTTATCGGAACTGTTTAAAGAAAACGATACCGATATCGGGTGGAAGACGGTAAAAATTTGCCAGATGATTCACGCGCTTGCAAATTTACTGCCCGTAATTAAATTTGTTTGTTTACATTGCGCGCGGCCGCGCCATGACACACTTGCACGCTATATTTTTCGGGTTAAATTCCTCCGGACTAATTAATAAAACAAATCGAATGATAATGCCGTGGGCGCAGCGAGCGCAAACGAATACGTTCGTTTCGTCAATAAACTACCGACCGCCAATCAAATATTTGATGGTAAGCGAATGCATTCGTGTGCGTGAGCGTGTCTATTTTTATCTCGTAATGAAAACCGCCACCGGTTTCTAATACAGTTTGGAAAATCATTTAAAATTCTATCGGATCGCGACAATGAGCAATATCCCGTGACGTTTCTTTTTTGTACATTGTGTCCCAAATTGCTTGTAGTCATAGGGTGCCAAATTGTTTAGTTCCCTAGGTACAGATTGAAATACAAATTTTGTGCTCTAAAATAGAAAAAAGTAAAAACTGCTAAAGATAAAAATTTTTGCGTAGAATCCAGTGACGGAATCAACTCATTTTTTAGGAAATCAGTTTTCGAGATATTATCCCAGAGTATTTGTTTAAGTGTTTTTGAACCCAAAAAATTCCCCTTTTTTTACTCTTTAAAATGCGTTTCTGAAGTATATTAAACCTTAAAAGCGAAAGCGAAAGAAGTCTGGCCGTCTTACTGCTCCAGTTGTATCAATCATCGACATTTTCAAAGAGCAATGGAGTTAGAATTTATGCATTGCACAGTGCATGCTTTAGCCCTTTGCTAAAATGATAAATCATTAATTACATTTAATTTAATTCGGCGAGACATGGCGTTGTTCGGCTGTCGCCTTTCTGCATATTTATCATATAATAAAAAAAAACGTTTGAAAATAGTCCACAATTCAGGAGGAATTAAGGTACGTATGGTCCCTGTTAAAATATAAATCAGATGCTCGATCTCCTTTTTTAAATTTTTATTTGCTTAATATTATCTATTATTTTCCCTTAATTTTATAAACATTGATATAATCTGCCTTTTGTTTCCACGGTAAAATTCATCTACGAGCAGAGCAAATTAAGATTACTGTTTAATTTTGCTTGTAGAGATTAATACCTATAATACTCAACTTACGTTCTTCTTGTCATATTGCGTTTTTAAAGGTTACTCTACTTCGGTACATCATTTAACAAACAAAAAATACGTGATGTTTTATTTAAAAAATGCTGTATATTTCAGCAATATCTCGAAAACGATTTAACTAAAAACATTGTTAACCACACCACTGTATTTTACGTAAAAATATCTACCTTTAGCAGTGTTTCATTTTTTCTATCTTGCTCACCCCAAAGAACGTAAAATTTCTATTTTACCAACTAACTTGGAAACGAAACACGGCATGATTTTGTTTTTCTACTCCCTACACCCTACACCGATCTAGTTTGCGGAAAGTGTCACTTTATCACGTGAGTTTCTTGTCCCACGGATCCGAGCAACTTCGGCCATTTGCGGGAAATTACCGCACGGGTTTGGGAACAATCGGATTTTACCGCACGGCTTGAATTTTGACGTTTGTCAATTCTGATGGGAATGAATGTATTCGTGTTTTGCAAAAATGTACCCAAAAACTAACTAACGGTCGTAGAAAAAGTATGCAACACGTTCGGTAAACTTTTTAAGTCACTCGGTTATTAAATATTCGCTCCGCTCGTGTCAAATACACTCATGAGTCAAATGCCGTTTACCGTACTTGTTGCATAATATACTGCTTTCTACTCCCTGCTGTAAAATACCTAACTATACACCGATCTAACGTGCGGAGAGCGTCACTCTACCACGTGTAGAAACATGTCCTACGGGCCACTTCGGACATTTCCGGGATATTAACTGAAATGTCGTGAAATATGAAAATCTCCCTCCATGACAATATCAAACACGGATTCAGAAACGATAGTGCACTAATTTTGAATCGAATAGCTTTTCTTGTTCGAAAGTTATTGTTATTTTTCGTAAACTAAGTTTTACTATCGGCGTTATTTTTAACGGCAGGCAGTTACGCAACATCCTGTATTTGGCCCACGCGTAGGCATAACGTCTTCACTGTAAAGATAAGCTCTTACTTACGCATGTATACGCTTTCCTATATAAATTTGAAAAATGTTTACCTCGTTCTGATGTAATTTATTATCGGAGACACTTTTTTCGGACATTATTAATCCCTATTAATAATGACTATTAATAAATATATGCTTTATCTGTGTCTGTGGAAATATATGTTGTTTAATAACCTCCGAATTTTGTGTGTTCGTCCAATGGGTCGCTGCAAACTTGTTTTAATGTTTATTGAATTACATATACGTAGTTTTATTTTAAATTGTTGAAATTGCACATTACTTATGCCACTGTTTGGTATATCTATTGAATATTTTGAATTTTTGAAATACCAGGAGAGTGAAAAATAAACCTATATTGTATTGTTCTACGATTTATTTATTATAAAAGGAAAA